AGAACCGCCGAGAGTTCTCATTTCATAATTGCTGAATTTTCTCTCCACTTGCTAGGCACCTCCCCGTCTGTAGGTTTTGGCAGACCACCTGACCTATGAGGGTGCAGATCTGTCCAAGGGGAATCTGTTCATTCTACTAGGATAAAATCTATTTTTTAAGCCTCATTTTAAAACTTCTTCATCACAAATTTAAGCATTTAATTGACTCAATTAGCATGCATTGCATTAGATACAAATTAAATTGAGTCTAAATCTTTAATTGCATTTATTTAAACATTAATATCCAACATAAGTTAAAGGGCCAACTAGGATCTGCTCTAGATGTCGGCCTAATTCTTAAAAATGTTTCTTAAATAACGTCCCTACCACTCAACATTAAAAGACCAGATACATGATTTTAAAGTACCTAGGTGGTTTAGCTGGCTTCCCAAATGAGGCCGAGGTAAGTCTAGATTTGCATTACATTAGCTAGGGTTGGGCCACTGATTTTTAGTACCCACCTTAGACTTAGGTTCTGAGGCAAGCTCAGGCTATAAGACCTCAACCATTAGGAATCTAATCCCAACTTTCTAATAAAATTGACTACTCAAACTTAAATCTTTTTCAATCAAATTCAAGCCCAACACTTAGGATAGGCTGAGGTGCTTCTGAAGTAATTCAAAATCTCAAAACACCTCCTACCCTTCCTCCCTTGATTCCTAAAATAAGTGCTCAACTTTGAACCAATCCCGATTGAAAATTCAAACTCTTTACCTCCTTTGACATCAATCTTTGAATTCTTAAATAAAATTTTTACCGCTATTTCATTTGAGAGTACGCATAGGAAATTTTAGTTTCTTATGATGTAATTAACTACGAGGGCTTGTGCTCGAAGGAGATTTAGAAACCCAGATTAGCTTTTCATAATTAAGTTTTCAAAACCTTTAATTAATTATCTTTGGGAAGTTAAAATTTAATGATCATTATTGTCATATCCAAATGATTGATAATAGGAGATATTCTCTTTCCTTGGAAAGATATATCATTATATTATCATGATTTTGAATATGAAATTAATAATCCTTAATCTAGATTATTATAGTTAAACACTTGAGTAAACTTCATTTTGATCCTTCGAGATCATATGTAGTTCATTCCTGAGTTCGACTACAATAATCAGGATAAATTTAAAGTTCTAAAATTTACACCTATTAGAGAATAATATTATCGCCTCCCAACGTAGTATATTATTCATAATAAAGAGTTTGATTTTAAAACTACCTTTTCCCAAAGAAAATTAATCCTTTTTCAAAACTTTTAAATCAAACATGCATACTATACAACTGCTGGTTTTACTTGAACCTTTTATTTCTGCTAAAAAACTTATTTTACTGCTTCTCATTTGGGTTTTGACTTGATGTTTGCTAACTGTTATAAAATTTGGATTAAGTGGAAGAGTTATTTTAACATTAACATTATATCGGATTTTGCCCAAGTTGTTCATATGCAAATCTCTTTTTTCAACTTCAAATATTACAACTCTTTTGTTTATGCTGCTTCTACTAGATTGGGTCAGCTTTCCCATTGGGAA